TCTTTCACCCGTCACTGCACCTTTCTTACTTTCACCTTATTTTAACACTGTTTAATCATTGATTTCTTGACTTTTACTTCACAACTCACCATTACTACTTATTCTTTATTTTCCTTTTACTCCAACCTCTTTTTACATTGGCACGTGTTTTCCCGATTTACAATCTCGCTTCTACCTTCTTTCTAATCTCGCTTAATCTCTGAAATTCACTTAAACTGCTTACTTTTCACCTACACTCCAGCTACTTCTTCACTTTCTTAACTTACACTCATTTTTATTTTCAGTGGTTTTGTTCTTTATCATTTAATTTATCCAATTACTACTCTTTTTTCGGGACCGTTCACTGTACACGTCCGCTCTCTCTCGCGTTAACAACGGAAGACAGTTTCACTCTTATAATAATCCGTAAATCTTCCTCTCGCAATATTCAAATCCTATCTAATTATTTTTCGCAATATTTCTATATTTCAAGTGAATATTTTCATTTTCTTATACGTCGAGTAACCATAATGCAATATTCGTTTTTAATATTTCCTGGTTTCGAGAATTCATACCTGAACTATTCGAGAACATTCCATATTCTTCCTTTCAAATCGTTCGAAAAAATTCTACACGTTTCTCTAAGATCAGAGTTGTTTATATTAGGGTTTATTCTATCGGTCGGATAATGGTTGCTTTATTTTGACATCTGCATTCCGAGAAAGATTTAAAGTGTTATCTCTAGTTTATTATCGGGCTTCGGATGCCCCGGCATTGGCGACGGTTTCAAAGTTTTTCGTGAGGCAAAGATTTTAAATGGAAATTCTTGATTAAATGGGTGCGTTCCGGCGCCTATGTCTCGCATGATTTCATGGCGACAATGATGTCCTGGAGACGATAGGAGAATATTGATTCTTCCGATCCTTTTGTTTTTAGTTTTCAACGTTCTCTGATCCTCCCAGCTGCATTTTATGGTTAACACGTGTTACCGGATAATGGTTAAGAGTAACACATGGGTTTACACCAGGAAAAAATAGCATATTTTCAACAATTTTTCTTTTTATATAAAAAATGGAATTCTTATTCAAACTTTTTATAACATTTAAGATACATATTTAATGAATATTTTCTGAAATTTTTGTTGAAAAATACCTAAAACTCAGCCATTGCGACGTCATATCCGGTGACCCTACCGAAAAAAGTGCTTTCGCGTTGACAGCAGAACTCATGAACGGTGGGGGTCTTTTAGTGGAAAAAATGGGTCTTTTAGTAAATACCTAAAACTAGAATTTGGACGAAGGAAAGAAGAAAAACTTGAAATTTGGATTTTTGACAACGTTTTTGGCAAGAACATTCAAATTTTGCGAAAATTTGCACCACATTTTGGTTTCCTAAAATTAGTTGTGTGTTGATAAAAAAAAATCCTTCGTCCAAGTCCTTGTCAATAGTATCTCGAAGACGTGTACCAAAATTCATCAAGATCGGTCAAATAGTTGAAATAGTCAATAGAGAAATCTTGACAACTGACTTTAAAAAGTTTTTTAGTTTAAAGTTTTTGTGACGATAAAAGAACCTTTTAAAAGTGAAACTTCCCAAGGCTCTATCTCTTAAACTATTACTCCTATCAACTTCAAAATTTAAAACAATATTCTAGACAAGTTGTAGAATTAAATAAGATAAAAAAAATTGATTTTTTTGAAAGTCCCAAACCCATGTAACCCCTTAATGATAGGAGCCGTATGGAGTTTGTCTAATTCTTAGGTAACTTTACAGTGATTCACTGTCATTGCTTCCATATCGCTGAAAAATACGTATGTTAATGAAATCCAGCCCGGTTCTAAGAATAATTATTATTCGTTCTTTATAAAAATGGATTTGATAAGTTAATCTTTTATTAATATTACTGCTGCAATTGTTTCAGTTGGTTTCGGTACTTACTACTAAAAATGCTTTCAGTTGTCTTTTATATAAATTACTAAAATAATGTCACTTAGAGTTAACTTTTATTTTACTGCGAAAAATTTAAGGAAGGTTTGCGTTGCGGGACGTCACAATAGGAATTCGCAAACCGCTGATACAGAAATTAGTGGGATACACTTTGGATAGTAAGATCGTAATGCTATTTTTATATATTATTAATTGTCTTTTCTTTTTCTTCTTCTTCTTCTTCTTTTTATTAGGACTTCGTCCTGTTATAGCTTTTATTGCTTTTTCCGAGAACGCTTGATTGTTTTTACCGAGAGTAGGGATGCTAGCCTAATCCCCTGAACCCTCCTCCATAATCTGAGCTTGGGACCAGAAAATAGCCGAAGGACCCTTCGTTTGTGTATTAGTACACACGAACGCTCGGACGCACACTAGCCCGGTCACGTGTAAAAACCGACGAAGAGGCGGGGCTTGGCCTCCACTCTTACAATCACGTCTTAACAATATTTCTCGCTTATTTTTGCAAATACGAAGATACACCTTAGAACATTTTTCATGTATTTTTCAATTGTCTACAACTTTTGTTTGAAATGTTTTTCGATTAAAAATTCTGAGATAAGATAATAATCATAACCCTGCTCAACCCTTTTTCTCAAAAACGCGACATCCGATTGCAAAAAAAATAGCACCATTCGATTCAGCGTTATCGAATTACTCGTTACATCAAATTAGCGATTTACTCGAAATTTTAAAGGTATACGAGCAAAACGGACCTCATATTTGGATTCAGCACATTGAAATACATGTCGGTAGGTGGGCCTGATCAAATGTACAGATCACTTTTTTGTGTTCTGTGCCGGTGTAATTATTAATCACGATCCTTCGGCATCTAGAAAACCATTGAATACCTGTACGATATGAATTAACCTGAAGGAAAAACTACGAAAATATTATTAAAAGATAATCAATTAAGATTCGAATATCGAAGGAATGGTTACAAAATTGATCTAAGAATGAAATTATAAAAATATTGTTGAAGGATTAATTAATCGAGATTTAAAGAATTACAAATTGATTATGTAATTACTATCAAGGGATGAATTACAAAGCATTGGTTAAAGGACTACTTATTATGATTTAGACGTTAAAAAAAATGAATTATATTAAATAACCTATAAAAATATCGAAGGAAAATACGAATAATAATGTAATCAGATAAGAAAATCATGTATACTCAAATGTACGTGTGCATAGGAATTATCTGGAAACGATGATATATCGGGAATACTTGGGCTAGTTTGCATCGGAGAGTGAGGACTTGTGCCATCCCCTCCACGGAAGGGCCTTCTACCTATATAAACTCAGAAGGCATTTCCCTCGGAGCTTCATTAACTAATTAGTTTTACTGAAAGTGTTAACATTACTATTGTGTGTCATTATTTTACTCTACATTTGATATTTTTGAGTGTTCGGTCTTTTATTTTAAATTCACTACGATTCCGAATCTTGAGATTAATTTGCGCAAACTGATGGTAATCCAGACCATAAAACCAGCCCAAGTATTCCTGGAACAATCGCAAGCAATTCAAAGACTTCCTATCTTCATCTAACTTTGTAATTAATCAAGTTCATTATTAAATATTCTTGTTAATTATTAATAAATAGACCCATACATTATAAAATATTAGATGTTACCTTAGTCTCTAAAGTTCAACGTCTTTTTTATTTAAGCAGACATACATTGTAGTAATATTCAAAACACTATACATCTAAACTTCGTTATCTCTTGATCCGTTATGTTTGAACACTCAACAAAACTGTTTCAATCTAGACTAGTGTTTATTAGTCTAGATATCCTCACTGTTAAGGTGCCCTCTATTCCGGTGTTCTATTTATTATAATTAAATTTAAAAATTCCGTTATAGATGTTGTTTAAATTATTTGTGTCTGTTCTAAAATTAACTGTATTATTGTTCGTTATGTGGTACATTTCACTAATGATTCTTTTATACCAATTGTCTTCTAAATCTAAAATCGTTGCTGCGTCAAATTTAAAATTATGTCATATTTTAAAATGATGCTCAGCTAACGCGGTGATATTAATTTTCTTAACATTAGTAGGTTTACAGTCATTTCTATGCTGATCTAATCTTTTTTTAATTTTCTGTTTTGTTTGTCCTATATAACACTTGTCACATTCACATGGTATTTTGTACACTAAGTTGTACACTGGTCAAATTTATCTACCTTATCTTTTAATTTGGTGTAAATAGAATTTATTTTTGTTAAATTGTAAAAAATCAATTTGATGGTTTTACGTATTTTTGTTAATTAAAACTCCAGGAATCAAAAATCTTCATAACCCTATCTCATTTCCTCAATTTATCTTCATCTTCCTATCCTTTCGCACAATTTGCTATCTTTTATTACTGTTTAATCATTAGAAAAACGAACCTATCTAGTTCTGGCTAAACTCGGTGAAAGGAGAGTAGCTGAAACAGGCTCAACACTGCTATTTAAATCATATTCGTCAATTAGGACGTAACAAAACTGGCGTCAGAAGTGGGACCCGAGTTCGTTTTTTCAAATTAGATAGCGATAATATTAACACATTAACAGCCGGTCCCGCGAAAACGTGGATTTCCGAGTCTTGCGCTTGAGTCTCGGCCGCGGGATAAAGCGGGTTTTTGCTCGATGTGTAGATTTTTTTGTGCTGATATGAGTATCTTACAGATCGATTTTTATTAACTTGCTATGGTTACGCCGATGTTTTAAATATTTTTTTGAGGATTTTCAATGATCAGCGTTGGGACGTTAAGTGGCCGCTACGGTGCCGGCGCTCAGGCGTTGAATATCTCGTACGTTGGCGGCTGTTAATGTGTTAAGAATAATTAGGATATTAATATATATCTATAGAAGTAGTATTTAATTAAATATATGAAGTACACATTTATTCCCGAAAACGAACCAATATTACCAAAAAACCATAAACTATACATGTTTAATCCTAAAACCATATACTCTCGCTGTTCCTTTGTCGCCTATATATAGAGATTATCCCTTCTATCATCCTTTTGTTCTTTCTTTTGTTTCAGTTTTAGAATATTCGAGAAGTTTCGATACGACCACACATCAGATGATAATTTCAATCGGTTCAACTTGACAACACGGCACACTCTTACGCAACAAAGAAGTTATATTAAGTTCCCTACTTTCTTTCCTCTTATACATATTATAATAATATACTTTAACCTTAAAGAAAATAAATCTAACAATCTCAACAGATCAAAATGGCGACTGTAACTTGTAGCCAAACGAAATTATTGAACCTACAAGAAATAGAACAGTTAATAGAGGAATTGGCAAAGAAAGAAAGGTCTTTTAACGAGAAGAGAAAGACGTTAGAGGCAGAGAACAAACAACTTAACGAGAAGCTTAGACAATTAACGGAGAAATTAGAAATGTTAGAAAAGCAGAATTCACAAGTACTGAAGATAAAGGAAGAAAGGGCCAAACTGGACAGAACTACCCCACCCGGTTTCCCCAATTTCCACTAGATCATCCTCTCCCCTTCCTCAATCCGAAATTCACGATTATAATCAAAACTCACTCATCGAACCGAATGAAATAATTGACCTGATTCCTGAATTCAACGGCCATAACATATCTGTGTAAGATTTTGCTCGCGCGTGCGAAGATGCGGCTCGCACTCCTTACAAACATTTCCGATTGAGGTAATAATTAAAAGCTTTAAACTGAAACTAATCGGGGAACGTATACAGATTATTTTTCAGTGTAGAATGTCCAATCGTAGTCATTCTTATTAACAATCAAAAAAACTTTCTCTTCCGAAAAGACTTTAAATAACTATCGAGGCGAAAGCATAATACAATATGCGTGTAGACGCTTTGAAAGACGAATACCCAAACCCGGACAAATTTTTAATAGAGGAAGCTGAAGCAGACATTTTAGAAAATTTTATCGAAGAAACGCGATCAGAACTCCGACATTACGCACCCCGCGATTTAACTGACGCGATTATTAGGGCAGCGAGCATTAAACAGAGACAGCGTACGATGGATTATGAAAGGCAAAATTATCAAAATTACCAAAATCTAAATCAACTTTGGTCCTAGATACCCTGACCAAAACATATAAAAAAAACCGATAATACGATCACTCTATAAAATACAGAATACTGGTAACGATTACAATAGAAATAATAACCGATATCGGAATGATCGTTACGACGACAGGTACACTAGACACGAAATGGACAGAGAAAATAGATACAATAACGACTTAAGACCGAATTTTTATCAACATAATACCCGCCCCCCTCCCCAAACCATAGAGAAATCCATACACTCGTTACCCCGAAAATCGATATAACACATATCCTTCGCCAAACAATTACGATTCCAATCAACCTAATAACCAGACAACCCAGCCGAAAACCGAAGTAAAACCAATCTAAGTCCTAACCAACCCCCCCGAATTCCTAGCACCTACCCATGACCTGTCAAACCTACTACCATTTAACCAAATAAATTTTTTTAAGCGCGGGCCAATTAAGCAATACGGAACCGACCATGTCTATGTAACGCGAGACGCGTGAAGTATTTCTATATTCATATACGGATGGTTAAAACAAGGAATCGAAATTTTATTGATTGACACGGGATTTGACATAAATTTATTAAGAGGTGAGATGCAGTCAGAGCCGTGAAAAAAAGAGGATTTTTAATAATTTTTCTTTTTTTATAATAATTAAGTTTATTATATAAAACTGATTACGCAGAGTTTCTATATTATCTTTCAACTTGACTTCTGCAACATTTAAAAAAAAAATTAATTATTTATAAAAATATCGTCATATCTTTGTCGGATCCCGTTCAGCAAGTAGTGCTTTGCGGTACCATCAAAATATCTTACTTAAAATAAAAAAAAAAAAAAAACATTAGTTTATTAATCGAAATATTAAAAGAAGTCTTATGCTTGAAACCCATACTTCAATACCCTGATTTCACTCAAACCTTCATAATAACAACCGACGCGTCGAATTACACGGTGGCAAGCGTTCTCAGTCAAAGCGACATAAAAAAAGATCTACCGGTCACATACACATCCTGCTTATTAAAGTCCGCCGAGACACGATATTCGACAATAGAAAAGGAATGTTGGCAATTTTACATTGTATCACACAATTTAGACTTTATATATATGGAAAGCATTTTAAAATTATAACTGATCAGAAACCACTCGTTTGGCTAGCATCAATAAAAGACAAAACTTCTAGATTATGGTATTAGCATCTACAATTAAGTGAATATGAATCGAAATAATACATAAACCGGGAAAAGTAAATCTAAACGCAGACGTACTCTCTAGAAACCCCGTGGCATTCGTAAAACCAATAGTTCCGTGGAATATATCTGGAAAAATATCGAAAATAATGTTACGTTTCGGATATAATGAAAGCCAAGGATTTGGAAAAAATTCCGATGGCATTACTGTTCCCATTCAACCAACATCCCCACCATTAGCCCATTGCACTACCTCAAACAACATGGAAATAGTAAAATAGTCGCCCCCGTCAACACTCGTTCGAGGTGCGACGTTCTATCATCCTCCCACTCCAAGAAGAAACAACGCCTATTCTCCCCTCCACCAGAAAAACCAACGAATGAGAACAAGACATCCGACGAAGAACCCAGCACGCGTGAGTCCCTCGATACTCCTCTCACCGCCATTAATCTATCCCCACCAAACTTAACCGCCATCTTCTACATTTCCATGCCTTTCCTTCTCTAGCTCAACAGACCTGAATAAACCTGAACCCATATGCTATCTCCCATCCTACAGCTCACAGTTMACTATTTCAATTGATTGATTATAGGGATTGTTTGAAAAACAGAAAAGATAATTTAGGAATATTCATATCATACCAAGGCAAACTCCTTTATAAAGGTGCCTTGGAACTCTATGAAAATAAAATGCTGCCAATATATAAAAGCATCATRCCCGAAAGAACTAAAGTTACAAAACATTACATGAGAAAAGAAACTGATATCAGTGCCAAAAGACTATCCTCCTAAAAAGCAAAGTATAATTGAAACATAAAGATCATTATTTGATGTAGTTACCGAATTAGGAATTAAAACCATAAGTATTTCTAAAACCAAATTCATGGGTGATCTTCCTTAGAGAGAACCATAGAAAAGAAACTTCGAGAAATATTATCAGAAACAAATTTACCCATAATTATTTGTGCAATTTACTAGTTACAACTGCTACAACAAATAAAATAAATGACAAATTACAGAAATATCACTCATCTACCAGTAGCAGTCATAAAAACGTGAGCAAAACTTATTGACGCATTAGAAACCATTATTTTTTGAAAAACATGAAAACATTTATCGAAATATAAATATAATTTATCGAAATTTATCGAAATAAAGTAGCATCGGATATCGTGGGACCTCTTCTCATGACTCGTAAACGAAATCGGTATGTATTAACCATTCAAGACTTTTTGACTACATTTTCTCGAGCTATCCCTTTAACTACAATGAACAGTGCCGCCACCGCGGAAGCTTTTTATAAAGAGTTTATCTGGTTTTTTGGAGCTCCTCGTGCCATTATTACCAATCAAGGGAAATATTTCATATCAACCGTATTTAAGAGAATAGCAAAAAAATGTAATGTCAAACAATTTACTACGACCGCATATCACCTTCAATCTAACGGGTCGTTTAAAAGATCCCACCAAGTTTTAATAAAATATCTTAACATGTATGTATATAAATAGTAAGGGTAATGATTGGGACGCGTGATTGAATCCAGCAATGTTTTCTTATAATACCAGTGTACATGAGGGAACAAAGCACACGCTATATGAGTCAGTATTTGCTAAACTTGCCCGATTACCGTCATTTTCCTCTCCTATAGAGGAAGACGTAGATCTCACGTACAACCTATATTAAAACGATCAATTCGATGAAGTAAATCTATTACAGTCTCTTACACGACAGAACTTAAAAAAAGCTAAGATCAAGAGTAAAGCTTATTACGACAGAAAGGCAATAGAACAAAATTTAAAAATCGGAGATGACGTCTTTCTATTGGCAGTAAAGCAGGGAAAATTTGGAAACACGTATAACAACCCCTTTGAATTACTAGAGAACAACAACGTGATAATAGATACCGAAAAAGGAATAACTAGAAAGGTTCATATAGATAGGCTAAAACGATATAAAAATTAGAATAATGAATTAATTAGCATTAATTCAGGAATAAATTTCGCTTTTGTAGAGAAATATATTGACAAAATTTCAATGAAAAATGATCTCTCTGTATTTTATATTAACGATAAAAATAAGTCTTGCAAAAACTTTTATTGGCTTCAACTGCAACAACAGCGCAATTAACGTATTTACGATCTCCCTATGCGACGTCAGCGATGTAACCCGACCCAGTGCTGAACTACCACGACGGGAGGCTACATCAAATTATTGCAAATCACCGAAAATATACCAATACTCGTAATGCGATGTAAGATCGTAAACACTCGAATGGTCTACTACTACGGGACGCATTTCTACCTCTTAACAGTACACAATGCACTTGCGGAACACTCAGTCGGACCATCCACACACCAATACAACGACATACATAACCCTGGTACTCTAGTTTCCGGAAACGGCGAAAAATTTATTCAGACTAACAATAAGAGTTAATAGTAAACCAACTCGCGTCGCCACTCAGTCTAACGATCGATGGCACCTGTGAAAGATCGCAAAACTCCAATTCTTGCGATTTGTGGGTCAACATCAAAGTCCAAACGGCGGCTAAAATCACCTGAACTGCGTCAACTGACCTACTGAGCAAAGAAAAGCTCTTAGAAAATAGTAGGAAATGCAGCAGAAAACTCTAAGGTAGATCTAATAATCTCGGATCGATAACCTCTGGAATATTCGATATATTTATCATATTTGCTATCATAAAAATGATAGCAAATACGATCATTTGAGGTTACGATTTACATTCAGATTGCGGTTGCGGTATATATTTATTTGGGGCTGCTTAGAACGCATTCATCTATCTACTCGTTACCACCTTCGGACAACGAGCTGGGAACCAGAACGTCAAAGAACGTGCAATATACAAAATACCCCCGTCACTTTACAATTCGAAAGAAATAATTGCCGCTGTAGAACCTCATAGTAGAATTTCAGACTTGTAAAATATAATACCTGGCGGTATATAAAGTTATCGTAAAGCGATGACTTTATGGGGGGGGGGAGACAGGTGTGACGTCCCGCTACGTTTTCATTCTTAAATTTTTTCGCAGTAAAATAAAATAAGTAATGAGAGACATTATTCTAGTAATCCACATATAAGACAATAGAAACCATTTTTAGTAGTAAATATAAAAATTTATGAAAACAATTACAAAAGTAATATAAATAAAGGACGAACTTATTACGCTTATTTTATTAACAAGGAACAAATAATACTTATTCTCAGAGCCAAGTTGTCAATAGGACTATCGCTCGAAAATATAAACGAAATAATAAATCATTAGAAGTTTACTTGGAAACCTGACAAACTCCACGTAGCCGTCACTCTTGACTATTGGCTTTCAACACGAGCGAAGATAAAAGGGCTGCAGGACATGCGACTGGGAGGATCAGAGAGCGTTAAAATCAGAGTCAAGGATGCATAACCAAAATAAGGCCGGGAAGACAAACAGTCGAGGCCCACCAACGTTCTCCTATCCTCGCAAAGACGTCATTGCGAGCCATAAAATCTTACAAGACATAGGCGTCGGAGCACGTTCATTTAGAATAAAGTTCCTACTTAGAATTAGTCACCATATGAAAAGTAGAAGAGACCATCGCTTATGCCAGGTCACCCCCTAAAACCTAACAATAAATTAGCGATACCAACTCTAAACCGATCGAGTATATGCATATTATTAAGTATACCATAAGGAAAAATCGGCTACATGAACCTTTTTCGGAACGGAAATGTTAAAATAAACCAACAGTAATGCGATCGATAAAATATCTTCAAAATAATACCAACTTAAAAGAAACGCGTAGAATGTTCTCGAAATGATCTAGAATTATTGAATGAGAAATATTTAAGAAATAATTATTAACTACGATTCCTCGGTATAATAATCGATATCTTCGGTACGTAATAGCACAAATTAACCTGGGAGAGAAGCTGCGGAAATATTGTCTTGAATTAATTGAAGGGGAAGCGTTATGGAAATGATTACTATCATAGTTCTTTAATATTTAGGACGTCACGAAAGTGCATTCAAATACCTATATGATACCAATTAACCTGAGGGAGAAATTATGGAAACATTGTTAAACGATAAATAATTAAGATTTGGATATTGGGAGAGAAGATTATATTAATTAGCGATCGAAATATTGAAGGCCAGTACGAATGATTACATAATTATAAGAAGAATCATGTGTACGCAAGATGTATGTGTGCGTAAAAATGTTCTGGAAGCGATGATGACCCTTTGGCCAATATAAACTCAGAGAGTATCGCCCTCGCGATCATTATCTAATTAATATTTTTCTGGAGTATTAACGTTACTATTGATCATTACTTAATTACCATTTTCTTGAGTCGTCGTTATCGTGATTATTACTTAATGATTAACGTTTTTCTTGAGAGTGAACGTCTACTTTATGGTCTTTCTATCTTCAATTTCGAAATTTTTTCGTTACAATTTGGAATCTCAAAGTAAATTCGCATAACTTGGTGGAGATCTAGACCACAAGAGCAACCTAAGCACTCCCGGCACAATTGTAAACGATTCGAAGGTTTTTGCCTACATTAAACTTTGTAACAAACTAATTTCATTATTAAATATTTTGTGAAT